ACATACATAGACACACACACACACAGACACACACAGACACAGACACACACAGACACAGACACAGACACAGACACAGACACAGCCACAGACACAGACACAGACACAGACACACACACAGATACACACACACACAGACACACACACACACAGACACACACATACACACAGACACACACACACACAGACACACATAGACACAGACACACACAGATACAGACACAGACACAGACACAGACACAGACACACACACACACACACACACACAGACACACACACACACACACAGACACAGACACACACACACACACACACACACACACACACACACACACACACACACACACATACACACACACACACAAACACACAGACAGCCACAGAATGAAGGGCCTGCCACAAGGGTACAGCAGGCGAACTTACCAGTGCATTTGCCCTGTGCCATGGCGTATCCAGCCTTGCACTCGCAGGTCGCAAAGTTCCCAGCCTTGACACACTTGCAATTGGCGTCAGAGCCTTCACAGTTCTTGATGGTGCACACATCTGATGGGAGGGGCGGAGGCAAGTGAATGTGTAGCTGAAGTTAAGGAAGGTGCGAAGACTGTAACACAGCAGCAACAGCACGCGCATATGAAAGAGGTGGCAAAAGCACATCAGGGACGGAATGCCCACGGAACATACCAGTGCAAGTCCTGTTATCCGCCTGCAGCGCAAAACCAGTGGCACATTCACAGGACGCCGCTCCCTTCGCGTCCTTCTTGCACTGGCCGTTCACACCACAGCTCTGAATCTCGCAGGTGTCTGGGTGGGGCAGAGAGGGTTCAAGGGTGGAGAGGACTCAACATGAGGTAGAACAAAGAACCCAGACCCACACAAACACGCACACACACACACAGAAACAAACACGCACACACACACAGAAACAAACACACACACTCACAGAAACAAACACACACACACAGAAACAAACACACACACACAGAAACAAACACACACATAAAGAAACAAACACACACATACAGAAACAAACACACACACACACAGAAACAAACACACACACAGAAACAAACAAACACACACAGAAACAAACACACACACACACACAGAAACAAACACACACACACACAGAACCAAACACACACACACAGAAACAAGCGCACACACACAGAACCAAACACACACACACACACAGAAACACACACACACAGAAACAAACACACACACACAGAAACAAACACACACACACAGAAACAAACACACACACAGAGAAACAAACACACACACACAGAGAAACAAACACAGACACACACACACAGAAACAAACACACACACACACACACAGAAACAAACACACACACACACACACACGCGCGCGCACACGCACGCACACACGCACACCGCACACACGTGCACACGCACGCATACACGCACACACGCACACACACACACACGCACGCACACGCACACGCACGCACCACGCACGCACACGCTCACACGCACGCACGCACACACGCACACACGCACGCACGCACGCACACACACACACACACACACACACACACACACAGCCACAGAATGAACTGCGAGTTATGAGAGCAGAACCGGAAAACGCACCGATGCATACACCCCCAGCCGTGGCGTATCCAGCCTTGCAGTCGCAGGTCGCAACGTTCCCTGTCTTGGTGCAAATGGAATTGGCGTCAGAGCCTTCACAGTTCTTGATGACGCACACATCTGATGGGAGGGGTGGAGGCAAGTGCATGTGTGACGAGAAGTTAAGGAAGGTAAGAAGATTCTCAGAGACCAGCAACACCGATGGCAAACAGCACTCGCATATAGTAGAAGCGGCTGAAAAGCACAAAGCGTCACCAGCACACAAAATACACGGATCATACCAATGCAAGTCCTGCCGTCCGCCTGCAGCGCAAAACCAGTGGCACATTCACAGGACGCCACTCCCTTAGCATCCTTCTTGCACTGGCCGTTCACACCACATCTCTTAATAGCGCAGGTGTCTGGGTGGGGAGAAGGGTGGCACAGAGGGGAGACGAGTGTTGGGAGAGGAGAGGAGGGGAACCAAGGAAAGGTAGGACTGTAGGTACAGTGAGAAGGGAAACGAAGACACGCACATACACAACAGAAAATGCAGGTACACGCACAGACACACAAGAAAAAGCAGGTACACGCACAGACACACAAGAATATGCAGGTACACGCACACAAGCAGGACCGAGCAAACGCACCAGTGCAAACGCCCGCATCCATCGCATATCCAGTGTTGCACACACAGGATGCAACACCGTTGTTCTTGATGCAAGCAGAGTTGGCATCATGGCCCTCACAGTCAGCGATCACACATATGTCTAGAAGGAGGGTCAGAGAGGATTGAGCATGGCACAAGATATTAGTCTTAAAAGGGTGAGTGGAAAAAACAGCAGCAAACACTACAGAAGCACGCACCAGCACAGGCAAGCAGACAAAGTAGCTTCTGACGGCAGCAGCACCCAAGCACGTGCCGTGAGTACCTTTGCAAGTGTGGCCGTCCGGCTGCAAGGCGAAGTCAGGGTGGCAAGCACAGGACGCGGCGCCAGCGGCGTCCTTGCTGCACGTGGCGTTCAAACAGTCCTTGAGCACACACGTGTCTGCACGTGCCGTGTGACGCGTGCAGGTGAGTGGAAGAGGGAGAGAGGAACATGGAGAGAGGGGCCATGCGAAGGCAGATGAGAGTCGAGCAAGCAGCACAGTAGCAACAGAAGGCAGGGCAGCCAGAACAGCCAGCAGGGCAGGAGGAACAGCGAGCAGGGCAGCACTCAACAGCGAGCAGGGCAGCACTCAACAGCGAGCAGGGCAGCACTCAACAGCGAGCAGGGCAGCAGTGACCAACGCAGCCGGTGGGCGTCATGGCGAATCCCGAGTTGCACACACACGTGGCGAGACCATTCTCCTTCACGCACGAGGCGTTGGGATCGCACACCAGCAGCGCGCACGAATCTGGCGGGTGGGGATCACGGATGGTGGGTAGATAGAGGGCAACCAATGCACACACTTAACGAGGCGCTGAAATCACACACCATCGACGCGCACGAGTCTGCAGAGCGGGCGCAATGCACACACATCAGGGCGGCATTCCCAGATGGTGGGTATACGCAGAGCAATGCACACACGGTATGAGAGATGGTTCCTGGAAATGACAAAAAACCAACACGTCGATTCGTCTGGCTTCCCCGGCGGCGGCACTAACGTGCGTGCGGCACTTCCATGGGGGCGGCACTTACGGGCGACGCAGTCAGCCGAGCCTGCATTGTCCTTGACGCATCTCGAGTTGCTGCCGCAGTTGCGCAGCACACACGTGTCTGCAACAGGTGGGTGACACGTGGAGGACACACGTGGCCACGTGAAGGGCGCATGCAGGCACGTGAGGGGCACATGCAGGCAGGCACATGGGCACGTGCAGGCATAGGGGAGGCACAGACAGGAGGGATTGAAGAAAGAGGATCTAGATGAGAGAGACACTTGGGAACAAGGCAGACCAGCAGGCACTCAGGAGCACAAAAAGCAGTCATGCGTGAAAATTTGAACGCAGACACACGAGAATTCAGAATGCTGCTAAGCATGCAGCGAGAAAGAGGGGGAGGGAGAGAGAGAGAGAGAGAGAGAGAGAGAGAGAGAGAGAGAGAGAGAGAGAGAGAGAGAGAGAGAGAGAGAGAGAGAGAGGCAGGGATGGGTGACCCACCAGCGCAGTTGCCTGCTGCGTCCTTGCCCTGCCCCCACCGGCAGGGCCCAGTCAGTGGCGCGACGCGGATGGCCTCCGCCATGGGCGCACAGGCTGGCGCGCAAGGGGGGGGGGCGGGAGACGGGGAGGGGGAGAGGGGGAGGGGGAGATGGGGAGGAGAGGAAGGAAAAGAGGACAGCATTTGCAGGGGGGGAGGGTACAGAAAAGTGTGAGAGCGTGGGAGCATACCTGAGAGCACGAGAGCAGCCAGTGCGGCGAGCACGAGGCCACGCGAGCCCATGATGCTCATGCTGCTGACGAGTCTGGTGCTGATGGTGGTGCTGATACGGCTGATGGTGTGCTGATGACACTGTTAACGCTGATGACCCTGATGCCGCTGACGACACTGCAGCTGCTGGTGTGGCGTTGGTGTGACGCTGAGGCTGAGACGGCGCACTAGAGACGGGCCGCGTACTAGAGACGCCCGTGAAACAATCTAGGAAGCAATTTGGGAGGAGCGGTACTATCTCTTTCCGCGCTAGTAACAATTTAGGGGCGGTATCTCTTTAGGAAGAGTGGTGATTCGTGATTCGCAAGCAACACAGGCGATATGTGGTAATGAGCCGCGAGCACGGCTTTTACTATGCGACGGACTCCCGCCATCCTACCCCCTTCCCTTCCCCCTCCTCCTCCCTTTCCCCCTTCTCTTCGGTACCTTTTTGCCCCTGAGAGGTTTTCCCCCCTCGCCCAAGCAGCGCCTGGACTGGACCCATCGATTGCGCTACTAGCACTAGCAGTGGTGTCGGCCTATCGATCCGCGGAGAGAGCGGCATTTTCTCCGCGGAGAAAGTTTATCCTCCGCCGGGTTCGCGCATCGAAGCCTTGGGGGAAAGCTACAACGAGGCGTTTCTCCCCTCCAGGCCTTCTTCCCTCACCGCTGAAGAAATATAACGGCTATAACTTGCGGAATTCTGGACGGATTTGAATGCGCGGAAAGGAATGCGCGCCGCTAGCACGCGGAAAAGTGCTCTCCGCGCAGGCTCCGCGCTGCGCCGCACGGCCAGCGCGGCATAATTCTAGCTGTGTGATTGTCGAAGACATTAAGGCTTCACCTCGTGTGAGCCAGCGAGGCATATGTCTGGCTCTGTGTGAGTTCTACCGTGTGAGTCTTGAAGATACTATTGTCCTACTATAGTATACGGCGACACGCGCGTGGGCCAGCGAGGCTTTACTCGCTTCAAACAGAGGCTCGCGTTGCCAGCAAGACAGGTGGATCCGCTAGCGACACATCCCCTACTCTCAAGTAGCATGACAGCGAGGTGGGTCTATCTGGAGCAAGAATGCGTCATCAAAATCCTCGCCTTTCACATGTCGCGAGCGATCCAATACGGCAACAACCACTGTCAGTTGCGAGAGCCACTTGTGAGCAGTTCGTGACCAGTATCTGTTCGGCTCTACATATAGCAGAGGGACAAAGAGACCGAAATGGCGGCCCGGGATCGGCGGCGCGGGGAATGTTTCCTGAATTTCCGACGTAATTTCAAGTAGCCGCGGCGCGACACCTTCCTCTGGCTCCGTGGAGGGTACTAGTCTACCCTAGCGCAGTCGTGTCTTGGGGGGGGAGTTGTTCGTGTAAAAATGCCTGACAGACGTGCAGCTTGGGGGGTGCTGCTGGGGTGTGGGGGGGGGTGTTGGGGGGGAGGGGAAAGTCTCGGTAGGCCGATACGTGCATGCGTGTCCCGTCCGTACGTTCGAGAACACAGCACGCGACGCGACATCGAGAAATCAGGAAGAGATACCCTCCCTTTAGGAACAACTCAGCAAGGAATGTTGTCCCCCATCAGCACAAACAACAGCCAGACGTCCTCATCAGCACAAGTAGCGGCCTGACGTGGACAAAGAATGACAGACCATCATGCACCGCACTACCCTTCGCTTGCATTTGCTGATGTGCTCGTTTGCCAGCGTACTGCAATCTTCATTTTCTCGCTACATTGCACCCGTAATTCGTTGCTAATAGAGCCACTTAAAGCTGCGGCCTAAATACCTAAGGGACGGGCCTTGGTTTAGGGCGGGTCCAACTTTGCACACTCCCGTTTTTGGGTTGCGTAGCAACCCCTTTACATTTTGTAGCACTTTTTTCGGTCGACTCGAATGAACAGTGCACATTTTTGTCATATTCCCAACGTCTGAAGCACTAGCTTTAACGTTTCGAGAACGTGTGCTTCAAATGTGTGGAGATGACAGCATTGCTACACAAGAGTCTCCAAAAAAAATGAAACCAAATGAGACCAATTATTCCATAATCGTCGATAAATACGGCGAATGGAAACAATTGGTAGCAGCCTCGCCATATTTTACGGTACATCACACACAATTGACGAGACAACAAATTCGGCGTGGATGCAAATTACGGATTTGCATCTACCGCATCGAACATGTGCAAAACGACAACAATCAACAACAGCAAATGTCATAAAGTGAATGGCAAAATGCAACAGTGCTACAATAGCGATGGATCCGGTATGCTAAGGCGAGCAACGCTGCCCCAACAACAATCCCCACCTCAATTGCAGACCTGACACACTTTAACATGACACCTTACAACAAACACGAACGAGCACATGCGACATTGTACTGGTACAACGACGACAACGCATAACAATAATGAGTGTCTTGAGGAGAATGCTAAAATGCATCGATGATGCAACAAAGGTTGGTCTGGCACGCTAAGGCTATTGACCCACCGGCAATCACAACCTGAGTTGCATACACGAGGCACTTCAGCACACACCTTGAGACAGACACAAACGATACAAACAACACGACTGCACATGCACACACAGGCTCACACACACACATACACACTGACACGCACGCAAACAAGCACAGATACATACGGATAGTCAACACACAACCATCATGAAATTCAGCTATTAGTAAATCATCACTAGCCAATCACCCCTTACCCTCCCTACACCCCTCCCTTCCTCCCTCCCTCCCTCCTTCCTTCCCTCCCTCCCTCCCTCCCTCCCTCCCTCCCTCCCTCCCTCCCTCCCTCCCTCCCTCCCTCCCTCCCTCCCTCCATCCCCGTAGTCCGGCAGGTCCGAGCGGATTAGACTTTTCTTGGTGATTTTCGGCGGTGTAGCGATAAGGCGTGGAGATGGCGGCTGGCGTTAATCCGAACCGTTTTGCGATGGTGTCAGCGTATTTTGCGGCGCTGAGGTAGATTGCGTTCTCTCCGTCGAGGATGTTGAGCCCTTGGTATTGGGTTACAGTGGAGGAAACCGTGAGAGAGAGATCCTGTTGCAGCTCCCCTTCAAACTAGGTGGTGATGCCGTCGGTGGAGCCTATGTAGAGCAGATCGTCTACATACACGATCATCAGGATGTACTCAGCATCTTTCGTGAGTCTGTACATTCCCTGGTGGTGTGGCAATTGCTGAAAGCCGATGCGGATTAATCGGGCGTGCACGCACTGCTGCCACAGTCGTGGGGCTTGCTTGATGCCGTACAGAGACTTCAGTAGCTGACAGACTTGATTAGGGCCTGTGACGGATCCGTGTGGCTGTTCGACAAAACTGCATCGACGGGAGCGTGGAGGAATGCGTTGGCCACGTCGATTTGGCGGAGCTTCTTCCGCTTCATGGCGGCTATCGCGAGAAGAATTCGTAGCGAGGTATGTCGGCTGACCGGCGCGAAGGTTTCGGTGAAGTCCCGTCCGTGCGCTTGGTCGAAACCGCGCACAACACATCGTGCTTTGAACTTGTCGATTGTTCCGTTTGCCTTTGTCTTCACACGGAAGACCCCATTTCCCGTGAGTATGGTCTTGTTGCGTGCTACTCCAAAGTGTACTATCTTCCAGGTTTTTCTGTCTTCCAGCGCCTTTAACTCCCTGTCCATGGCTTCGCGTCATTTTTCCTTGTGCTCCCCCCCCAGAGCCTGCTGTACTGGAGTAGGCTCTCGCGGCGGCGATGCTCCATGGACTGAGGTGACGAGGCCGAGAATCTGCAGTCCACTCTGTGTGCGTCGGGGAAGACTTGGATCCTCAGGATAGACTGCTTCGTCCTGCTTCTGGATCACGTATGAAGTTGGGGCCTATGCGTTCTGAAACGTTGGTGTTGACTGGCTGGATTGTAACGTAACCGTTGTCGGCGAAGTCGTAGTAGACTTCAACGTCGACACATTTGCGAGGGTTGTCGTCGTCCATCGGAACGGGTACGGAGCCGTAGGGAAGAGGTCCGGCTTCCTCCGAAGCTCCATCCACGTTTTGTTCATCCCAGTCAGCCTCATCTGCTGGTGAGGCGAAGGCTCGATTGCCACGGAAGCCCTCAGTGAGGTCTCGTTCTGCTGCCAAGTTGTCCAGGTACGTTTGGAGAGTGAGTCGTTCGTAGAAAATCACGTCACGTGCTGCTACTGTTTCCTTCGAGTGGACGTCGAAAATCTTCTTCGCGTTGTAATGTTTTTCGATGCCCAGGTGTATCCCCCACTGTGCACGTTGTGAGAATCGCCCGGCTCGTGCAGTGTGGGGTCCGTACTGTACCATGCACCCAAAAACCCGTAACATTTTTGTGTTGCCCAATTTTCCTCTCCACAGCACATGCGGTGATGCGTTGTTCGGAAGCGAGGACGACGATAGCAAGTTGTGTAGCAGTACAGCATGGTCCATCGCCTCGGGCCACTGATGGTTAGGTAGTCGCATGCCACGTAGCAGCTTGCGCATGGTGTTCTGGAGAGTCCTGTTCATCCTTTCTGCGACACCTTGCTGTTGATGGGCGTAGGGAAGAGAGATGAGTCGCTTGATGCCTCTCTCCGCCAGGTATTGCTTGAACTCTTAGCTTTACTCCGGACTCCCTTTCCGCTACTGGGAGCCATGCGACGAAGGCTTCGAAGGCCATATCGCGGCTTGGTAGGTTGAGGTGCCAGACGTATCTGGTCGCAGCGTCTATGAATGTTATCACGTAGCTGTAGGCTCCTTGTCCGCTTTCGCGAGTGTACAGTATGTCGCTGTAAACCTTCTCCAGTGGTGCGTATGATGGCGCGCTCAGGTTGTGGTGAGAGACGAACGGCTGATGGGGTAAGTTGGCTTCGGGGCAAGTAAAGCAGGTTCCACGGACTCGTTAAAGTTCTCTGCTGTCTGGTAAGAGTAGCGAGTCCTTGTCGATTACTCCTGCTCTTATCGTGTTGTTCAGTGTCGTGTTGCTGGGATGTCCTAACCTTTGATGCTACAGTGATTCGTCGGCGCGATGTCCAGGTGAACGTCTGTACTTGAGTAGAAGCCTGCAGTGATGTTGGCGCTTCTGTGGACGTCGCGTGGAGTGGGAGTCAGTTGTTGAGCGGGAGTTGGTGTGGTGTCGGCGATTGGTGCTGGTACTGTTGTCTCTGTTGTTGCTACTATTTCTGCGGATGTTGTTGCTTCTTCTGTTGTCTGTTGAATTACTGCTAACGCCCTTGTCCGTTCTGCTTCAGGTATGGTGCGGGTACCAAAAACCTCTGGGACTGAAGTCGGGGTCGAGATCTGGCGGGTGCGTCCAAGTGGTGAAGTTGACGATTGCGTTGCTGTCAACAAAGCCTTCATTTGGGATGAATTCAAGGACGAAGACGTTGTTCTTCAGGACCGCCTTCCCGATGTAGAGGCCGCCCATTCCGTGGTACAATTTGAGCTCCTGAGTGGTGCCGTTGGCTTCGAGGTGGACTCCCTTTGCCATAAGCTTGGATTACGCTCAGTAAGTTGTAGCCGAGTCCTTCTGCAATCAGAACTTTTGACATCTGCAGGATGACGTTGGTTTCGCGGGACTGCAGCTGAACCACTCCTTGTCGTCGTGTGCGCAGGTTCTGGTTGTTGACAACGGTTATCACGACTTTACGGTTGAGACGTTGTTCCCGTTGAACAAAGCGGTTTGAAGAGCACATATGTTGTCCGCAGCAGCTGTCCAAGAACCAAGTGTCTTGACCGGACGGCTCGCTCTGAGCGATGGCCGCGTATGTCGGATTTGGTTCCCGCGATTTGCGACGAGGTGTGCTTTCGTCGAGCAGTTCTTCTGGTGAGTAAGTCGGTGGTGAACCGGTGATGCAGGAGTTCGTTCTTGCCATGCAGCTTATGATGTTTCTCGTTCCTCGTGCAGATTGTGACGTTGACATTGAAGGCTGCGTCTGGTTGGAAGGATGTGGCTGTGTGGAGGCCACCTGCCTACTTGAAGGTCGAAGCTGACGTGGTGGTGGCGTTGATTGCTGTTGATTCGGGCAATGAACACGAGAGTGTCCTGACGTTCGACAGAGGTGACAGAACGGTGGTACATATCTTCGTGCTTGGTGCTCGTGTTGTTGTTTGTTGTTGTGCCGTTGAGTGTGAAAGGCAAACTCTGGTACTGATGCCCTTTTCTTGTGTCGTTCTTCATGCAGGTCCATATCTTGTTGCTCGGCATGAATTTTCGCGCAGAGGTTTGCTTCGGAGAGTCTTCCGTGGGCCCGGAGAATGGCCCGCGTGGAGCGCCACTGAGGAACGAGACCTGCGATGACGACAGTGACGAAGGCGTCTTCGAACAGTGCTCCGCCACACCGAAGGAGTCTGTCGCGTAGACCACGGCAGCGACTGATATAAGCCATTCCCTTTTCCCCCGGTCGCATCTGGACTGTTGTCAATTGCGCCATGAGACGACTATGATTCACGCTGTCGTTTGCTTGATACAGGTTCTTCAGATGGTTGTACGCGAGCTCGGCGGAGTTACCGTATCCACGATAAGTTCGAATGTTTTGCTGCTCGTTTGCCGTTAAGTTTCGCAGGAGAATAGAGTACGCCATCAGTGACTGATACGTGTACTGCTGCTTGTCGTACTGTGTCCCGGCAAAGAGTTTGAGCGCCTTCCATCATCAGCTCGAATTCGAAGGACCATGTATAGAAATCTTTCCTGTCGAATGATGTTGACGTTTGCAGTTTCAGCACGTGTGCGGATTGTGACTGCATCTGAAGTGCATTCAGTGTCTTCGTCTCTTGTCCAGATAGAAGTCGATTCGGCATGAAACTGACGGAGGCGCGTTGGGGCTCATACGGTGCAAAGATAGGCTGCTGATTTCCGCGCGCAAAGGAGGAGCCATCAAGACTCATGGGAGTAACTCCGTTGTTGTTGTCACTGTTGTTTGACTGCACAGGTGCCGCTTGCTGTTGCTGTTCGTAGAATGACATGAAGGAGAAGAATTTCTCCATCATGTTTGGGTCGAAGCCGGTTGCTTGGTTTACAGGTGCTTCATTGGATTCTGTCAGAATGTGTTATTTGTCTAGTCTGCAGTGGGGTACTCTATAGTGAGTACAGCCCAACTAGGGTTTGCTATATGTATCCTATCTGCTGCTAGTGCAACCCCCTCTTCTGCTGTTCAATCCTAGCTACTTATCTTGACAGATTCAGCAGCTGGTTTCTGGGTTGAGCCTCCTTTAGTCTATAGTCCAGAGATTGGAGGTGGAGTAGGAGTAGTGTCAGGAGATCCAGTGGATGAACTCATTTCCTTCTCTGTTGCCATGTCTTCTGTTGTTGTAGGAAGTGGAGATAGTTGAGACTTGCCCCTTGCTAGCTCTCATACCATGTTGGGCTGAGAAAAGCCCTTAGGATCGTTTTCAAGGACTTAGGCTCAAAGTGGTGTATTAGCGGAAGCGTTTAATGAAAGCTGATTGAACCACCTTGCACTGGTGTGTGAGAATAAGATAAGTTGATTATAGCAAAGAGATACAGGGCTTTATATGATTACAAGGAATATAAAAGGTTTAATTAATTGCTGCTGTTGCGGTTCGATACAGCGACGACTCGGGTAACTACTCAATAACGAGTCAGTTGTCCTTGCTGTCGCGCTGCTTTTGTCGAGTCAAAGGTTGCTGACTTTTGACCTTCGCTTCAACCTCCTGCTGATGTCGCTTTGTCAACCGATTCGCTGTAGCTTGGTTGACTCGGTGTTGCTTCGCTGTGAGTCTGCTTCGTTCTTGTTATAGCGTTCGACACAACAGAAGCGAGAACTATATGTTTCCAACAGCGGAAACAGTGGTCGAGACGAGTGTCGTGAGCGGGTAACGTTTTACTGTAGGGTGCTGTTGGCGGGAGCAGTCGTGTACGCGCTAAGCACGGGTGCGAAGTAAGGAAAAGAGTTTTTCTTCACAATTTATAACTCATAACACGGAACATTATGCTTTTGCTGTTCCATAACTCATAACAGTGCAACATCTGTTGGTGGCATACGCACTTCGCCTAAGGAACACCCTGAATCAGCATTGCAGCTGCACGATTTGCTCACAGAAGTCTAACGAATGGAATAATGTTCAGACCTGACATGCACAGCCGTCCCAGCGCGCCTAGGACACACAGCCGGCGCGACTCCATTTCCACGTTTGGATTGGCTACCGTCGAATCCCCCTTTCTAGCGACCTTTGTTTTGGACGGATGGCGTCCAGGTGGGGCAAAGGTCCTCCAGCACCTCATCGAAACCCGCGAATTAGGTTAGACGACGGGCGCATGCGATTGAGGCAGTGTCAGCGATTCACTCAGCGATTCGCGCCCAATCAGAGTCGACAGCATATGACGCAGAAGAGCAGTACTGAAATCGTCGCAAACAGAAACGTAGGAATCTGGGGGGAGGTTTTGTTTTTGAGCACTCTGTTGGTCGTGCGGATTTGTGTTTGCAATAACTCAACCGGCAAACATACAGAAACCTGTCGCTGAATCAGTCGTGGCCAAAGAAGTCGCAGGAAGCACGTCTTCTCCATGATCGTCTGGGCGACCGATGGTCGCCACGTCGCTGCGGTGAAAGCACTGCGGCAGGATTGCGACTACCGCGGAAACAGGAAGATGTGGCCGCACGCCGCGAGAGGGATTGTTTCGGCGGCTGTGCTCGCGCTGCTAGTTCTGGCCTCGAATGTGGCTGTCCAGCGGCGGCGACAGCAGGTACAGCGCTGCTTTGTCGTTACAGCAATAGTCGCCACTCTAACCTACCCCAATCCGCCGCATCCCCGCCTCCTCTCCTCTCCCGCCCTTTCCCCTTTCACTCCCCGGCGCCCTGTGTTGCTTTTCCCTGCCTCACGTCCTATAGTCTGACCAGCATTTGTGAATGGAAACGGACGCCAATGCACTGGTGAGTGCAACGGTCTGCACATGAGGTGTGGCGACCTGGAATCATCGTGGAACAATGCAGGACAACTCCTCGGACCTTCCAGCGCTAACACGACCCGCTCGGAGAGCAAGCCTATGCCTGACAGCATTCGTACTCCCCACTCCACACGCCTTGCACTCTCCCTTCCGCAACCCCTTCTTTGTCTTTCCCCCACCTCTCTCCTCGTCCCCCCTCTTCCCCCCTCTTCCCCCCGCCCGCACGCCTCCCCCTCCCTCCTCCCCCCCACCCTCCCTTCCCCACTCCACCCTCTCCCCATCTTTTGTTTTCGCTCCCAGCCGCGCTCTGGTACTCGTTATAGCGCCACCCGCTATAGTGATTCTGACGGCCGTTACAGCATGGATGGTGACAGCGGGAAGGGCTTCACGGGTAATGGCAGCGCTGATGGGCAGGGGTTTGAGCTGCCGAATTCGCCGTCCAGGTTCGATGCATCTGTGGCGTGGCGCCACACGCTGTACCGCACGGCTGACTCGTGCTGGAGCCAGCAGGAGCGACACCTGTACCACACGGTATGGCGTGAGAGAGGTGTCGGTAGCACACGGTATGGCGTGAGAGAGGTGTCGGTAGCACACGGTATGGCGTGAGAGGGTGTCTGTAGCACACGGTATGGCGTGAGAGAGGTGTCGGTAGCACACGGTATGGCGTGAGAGAGGTGTATGTAGCACACGGTATGGCGTGAGAGGGTGTCTGTAGCACACGGTATGGTGTGAGAGAGGTGTCGGTAGCACACGGTATGGCGTGAGAGAGGTGTATGTAGCACACGGTATGGCGTGAGAGGGTGTCTGTAGCACACGGCATGGCGTGAGAGGGTGTCTGTAGCACACGGTATGGCGTGAGAGGGTGTCTGTAGCACACGGTATGGCGTGAGAGGGTGTCTGTAGCACACGGTATGGCGTGAGAGGGTGTCTGTAGCACACGGTATGGCGTGAGAGGGTGTCTGTAGCACACGGTATGGCGTGAGAGGGTGTCTGTAGCACACGGTATGGCGTGAGAGGGTGTCTGTAGCACACGGTATGGCGTGAGAGAGGCGGGTGAGGGGGGAGAGGGGAGTGGAAGAGAAGAGGGCAGCATTTGTAGCACATGGTAGAAAGAGGAGGGGGGAGGGATGAGAGCACATGGTACAGTGTGTGAGTGTCTCCTGTTGCACATGGTATGATAAGTGAGTGGCACCTGTTGTTGCACATGGTATGATAAGTGAGTGGCACCTGTTGTTGCACATGGTATGATAAGTGAGTGGCACCTGTTGTTGCACATGGTATGATAAGTGAGTGGCACCTGTTGTTGCACATGGTATGATAAGTGAGTGGCACCTGTTGTTGCACATGGTATGATAAGTGAGTGGCACCTGTGGCAAAACTGAATGTTGGGGGGTGAGAGGTGGCTGGGGTAATTTGGGGGTGGGACATTTGTTATGGGGAGGAGGGGGACATGTGCTGCACAGGGTACAGGGGAAGGAGGAACATCTATAACACATGGCGTGTGAGAGAAGCATTCGCGACATGCGGTTGGTGCGGCTGCAGCAGGGGTACGAACCTAGAGAACCCCTCATCTGAACTCAAACGCAAAAATATCTGATCCATTTCATGATCTAATCTGAGCATCTTATCCACCCCGATCCAATCCCATCCAGGCCAATCCGTCCCTTCCGTCAGCAGTGTTCAGAGCTGCTGTGGAGGAGTTTGAAGCGATGCAGAGGGAGTGTGTGGGGTTTCGAGGAGTGGACAGCTGGCAATGGGTCAAAGACAGGGCCACATGGTATGATGGGGTAACGTGGTGTGATGAGGCCACGTGGTGTGATGAGGCCACGTGGTGTGATGAGGCCACGTGGTGTGATGAGGCCACGTGGTGTGATGAGGCCACGTGGTGTGACAGGGCAATCATCCACATCCCTGTCTGCCTGTCTGCATGTGTGAATTTCATTCTCAAGCTCCCCCCACTTGGCGTTTCACAGTATTCACATCATGCCTATCAATGTGAAGACGCCTGTAGCTGCATTGTCATGCCAGCTGTCCTCTTCTCTCTGCCCGTGCTCCGTCTCTTCTCCCCCAAATTCACATCCATCCCTCGTGAGCTACCAGGAACAAGACCATCCCTCGATACGGCCGCGACAGGAAGAGATGCCGCTACATTGCAATTCGTGACCTGGACAGGGGTATGTTGTTAGTGAGTACGTGCATGACCTGGAGTGTTTGTGTTATGAATCAACCCCCACATTTCTGCCAGATAATACCTCCCTGCTCTTCTCAACTTCGATGTTAAGTAACACGTCCCTACTCCTTCGCTGCTAGATAGCACCTCCCTTCCCGATCCCAAACTCACTTGTCCCTTTTCTAAACTCACTTGCATGACCACGTCTCAGTTGTGACCTGACCGGATCTGATGTGATATGATATGATACGATACGATATATGATAAGATTTAATATGATATGATGTGATGTGATATGATAGGATATGATATGATATGATATGGTATGGTATGATAGGATCTGATATGATTTTATATGATATGATATGATATGATCTGTTCTGATTTTATTTTATGCGTGCAGGTCTGGGCAACAGGATCACATCATACGTCGTCTCGTTCATCTTGGGTCTTCTCACCAACCGAGCCATCATCGCACCACCACCTGCCTTCCTCACTCACCGCTTCTGCAACCCCTTCGCGCACGCCAACACCTCCTGGACCGTTGAACTCTTCACACAGCGGTAAGCCAGCCGTTGAAGTGCTGGGCACGCAGTGGCTGGGCACACAGCTACTGATTAGCCCCCCGCTGTGCAAATAGCCCCCCCTCCATCCATCCTCTCCCCCCACCCGTCTCCCCCTCTCCCCTCCACCTTCCCCTGTCGAAGATCTTGTTCAAGCTGCTGTTGTCAACTGGGTTGCGTCGGCCCAAGCTGAACATGAGCGCACTCGCCAGAAACACTCTTATCACGCCCCCACCCCCCCCCCCCCTCCCTCTTCAAAAACGTTCGTTCAGGCTTCTGTTGTCACAATGCTGCTTTGGCCCTTGTGAGTCGACTTAAAAGTCACCTCCCCTCTCCACCTTCCCTCTTCCAAACGTTCATTCAGGCTGTTGTGGTCAACAGTGCTGCACCAGCCCAAGCTGAACGTGAGTGCCCTGGCCAGGGAGATGAACTCGCTGCGCCATGGGGTGCTGGAGGACTTGAGGAGCAGCGTGCAAGAGGATGGCACTGTTTTCCTGGACTTGAAACACAGGTGGGTGGCTGTTTGTCTGGACATGAGCCCCAGCTGGGTGGCTGTTTGTCTGGACATGAGCCCCAGCTGGGTGGCTGTTTGTCTGGACCTGCATTGCAGCATCTTCAAGTGCAGATTGCTATGCAGTGCACATTGCATGCGGGGTCATTTCCGCAGCTCCTTTTTCACTCTCTATTCACACCCTTCGCTGCTGCTTAACACCCTGAGATGCCATAACAGGTTGAGGCCGGATTGCCTTGTTACGAGTATACACGCTCTTTTAGCCACCTCAATAACACAAGCTCTTGTCAGATCAGTGCAACTCCCTTGTGGCCCACACACCACTTTCATCCCTCAATCCATTGCCCATCCCATCCTATGTCTTATCGTTCTAGCAGCCTGCCGTTTACCAATGTGCACGCACACCATCCCTGCGTTCTTATATGCTTTCGCCACGTGCGCATGCCATCGCCACGCATGCGTGCCATTGCCTTGCAGGAATGCCATTGCCATGCGTGCATGCCATTCTCACGCAGGGATGCCATCGCCACATGTGCATGCCATCGCCACACATGCATGCCATCGCCATGCGTGCATGCAGGCACCATATCAATTACAATCCATGTCCATGCCCCACGCGTGGACGGTGCGGGCAGAGTTCTGCAAACATAACGTTTGCTACCATCCCCCTCACATCCCCCACGCCACATCGCATGGTGCAGGGTGCAGGCGGAGTTCTGCGACCAGCTGTGGGACGTCATGGGGGAGGCGACCTTCTGGTACACCAGCACTGACGCCTACTTCATTCCCTCCCTCTACTACATCCCCTCCTTCGCCGTAAGCAAGTCTCCTACTACAACCCACTGAGTTGATTAGAGTTAAGCCTCCGCAGCCCACCTGCTTTACTCTTAAAGGTCCAGCATCGACGCCCACTTCATTCCATCCTTCTACTACGTCCCCTCCTTCGCTGTGAGAAACTTCCCTATCACAACCCGCCTAGCTGATGGAGGTTATGCCTCTGCAGCCCACCTGTTTTCCTCTGACACGCCAACATCGATGCCTATTTCTTTCCTCCGCCTACTACATTTCCTCCTCCGTTGTGCGCCTCCACTAAATCCCCTCCTTGGTTGTGCGCCTCCACTTCCCCTCTCCATGTATATTCTCCCCTGCACTATAGGGAGGCCAACTCGTAGAACGTTAACTTGATTATAGATTGTTCCACTGCTTCCTAGTCAAGCCACTGCTGCTGCCACCATGTACCCTTCTTCGTACAGCAACAAGAAATTGCGGGATCAATCCACTAGGCAAGCCAGGTGAGAAACAAACATTTCTCTATTGCTCATTGTCCCTCTTTTTCACTCAACCACACATTCACTCCTGCTGCCGCCAAACCAGGCCCGCGTCTGTGTGTACGCGTGCACTTTGCTACTCTTGTTTCTCCCTCCCACCTATCTTCTCTGCAGGCACAGCTGAACAAGCTCTTCCCAGACGGCTGTGTGTACACACACGTGGCACGGCACACTACCTGCTGCTCCCAGACAACAAGCAGTGGACCAAATTCACCCTCTCTTCTCCTCACCCATCGGCTGACAGGCACGCCTCAACCAACTTTTCCCAGACGGCCGTGTGTTCACACACGTGGCTCGCTACCTGCTGCACCCAGACAACCAACTGTGGGACGAAATCACGGCCGCTTTTCATACCAACCTCGCCCCATTCTCCCACCGCCTGGGCATTCAGGTGATTGAGAATTGATGCGTGAGTTCCCGCTTCTTCAGGGCTTAGGGTTTAAGTCAAAGCTAAGAGAGTTCTCTGCCTGTGGGAGTTCTCTGCCTGTGGGAGTTCTCTGCCTGTGGGAGTTCTCTGCCTGTGGGAGTTCTCTGCCTGTGGGAGTTCTCTGCCTGTGGGAGTTCTCTGCCTGTGAGGAGTTCTCTGCCTGTGGGAGTTCTTCGACATGACTTGTCGGAGAGTTCCGTGACCGAATGGCATGTGTGTTTGTGACTCCTATCGTACTCTCTTCTTCTCGCTGCCACGATGCGCATCAGATCCGTTCGCTGCATGCAAGCGACCTGCCAGTGGCGCATCGTGTGCTCGACTGTGCTATCAACATCTCACACTACCTGCCGCCCACCGCCCCACTTGCACCTGTGAGTTCCCATTTGCATTAGGGAGTACCCACTTGCACCAGGAATCCCTCTTTTTGTTCGTTTCCCCACCCCCAACGATCAGCGTTGCTGGTTCCTGTTCTGCACTTCCTTCTCTTCCGTCCTTCACCTTTTACTCGGCTCCAAACCTTGTTCACTGCTCCCCACACTTTTCTCCACGCCCCTTAATCAAGCAATTTTCTTCATAAAAATGGGCTGTCCAGATCACGTCTGTACTGAAGTTCATCCGCCTTGTGGGCCATACATTCAGTTCCACATTCTCGCTTGACACCCACCATCAGAACGCATCATGGGCGGAAGCACACGAGTTGCCATACGAGAAGGTGGGGGTGTTTGTGTCGTCTCTCAACATGCGGCACTTGGTGGATATGCAGCACCACTACCAGCACCGCCATGTGCTGGCCAGCACCCGTGTTGACTTCTGGACGTGAGTTGGCGGCACTGCCTTGAGAGTGCCTCGTGGCTGCCGTGAACCTCCTTGAGGCTGCCCTGAAGGTGCCTCTGGCGCTTTCGACTTGCGACAGCATTTAGTGGACCTTTGCCGAACCGGTGCTTGCAGCACCGGACTTGGGATGGGCTTGCACCACGGGTGCTTGCATGGCCACGTGCAGGGCAGCACTCCAGTTGACTTGGGATGGAATATAGTTGTCATGACTCATGAGCATGAAATTTACACTGCCAACATGTTTGTGTAGATGACACACACTGGGTAGAAGCATTGACTTCTGCTGCCTTCGTTCGATTTATGCTGATGATTTCTGTAGACTTCTGTTGACTTATGTTGACTCATTCAATGCTTGTGTGCTCCCTTGCAACGGCAGGCTGACCAATGAGGAGGCAGGGAATCACGAGGAGGGGCAGATGGAATCAGCAGTCTTGGACATGTGGCTTCTGAGCTTCTGGTGAGTTGGAGCTGAGATCATATTGAGCTTCTGAGTCGATTTTGAGCTTCTTGAGAATCGACCATCCCCTTGTCTGACTTGACTTCGCTGCTCCTGTGTTGGCCTTGGCTCACCTCCACATCCATCCCTCTGCATGCTCCCTCTCTACCTTGTGTTGCCTCCCCTGGGCTTTGTTCCCTCCCCTCCCCTGTGCTCCTCCCTACCCTCCCCACCTCCCTCCCAGCGACCGCCTGCTCATAACGCACCTCTGCACGTTTGGCAGCACGGCAGCGGGGCTGGGGGGCATGGACTGGCAAAATGCAGCGCTCGCTGTCCGCCACCTCACTGTAACCCCACTCGCCTTCCCCCCGAGAATGTGTCCCCACCTCCCTCCCAGCGACCGGCTGCTCATAACGGACCTCTCCACGTTTGGCAGCACGGCAGCAGGGCTGGCGGGCATGAACAGCTTCTCCATGGCCGTCACAGTGCAGCGCAGCATGGGCATTGACTGGCGCAACTCCTCTAGCCCCACGTGCCAGCCGGTCTCCTCCGAGCCCTGTGACCCCCTCGGTGGCCCTGTTCAATGGGTGAGCGGCTTGCGGCCGACAGCCGGGCAGAGGACAGTGGTATGGTATGGCGTGGTATGATGTGGTGAGGTGTGGTATGGTTTGGTGTGGTGTTGTGTGCAGTCTCTTCCTTTACTCGTACAGCATGTCAGGGGCTGTCCATGAGTGAGCCTCATTTGAAAAGTGGAACCCCTCACCAGGCAGTGCCACATGGGTGCCGTTATCCAATGCTCTACTTTCCTCATCCGTTCTACTGGTCCCCCCACTTCAAGTTTTCCTGTCTGACCACATATTTGGCGTCCTTTCATGATGAGCTATGCCTATGCCAGTGAGAGTGAATTGTGTGTTCCTTAAGAGTCGTGTTTTTGTCGCCAATGCATGGAGGATTTTCTGTGGGGCTTTTCCATCTGTGAGCTCGTGTGTGCAGGGTGGGTGCAAAAATTTTCGGACATTTGAAGCGAATAACTGGCGGGAGAGGATGCCGGGATTTGGAACTTGCTCAGGGATGGCGTTGGGCTTGCAAAACAATAACCCTCTTATGGGGTAAGTGGTGGTGAATCCTGCAGACAATTCACCTTGAAGTGTGGTGCGAATAGCCTATAAGCCTGTGCTGTGTGAGACAATATAATCGTTTGAAGGTGTCTGCCATTTGTGTATATGGTACTCTATTTTGTTGATTATTCTTTTCTAATTTTGGATTAATTCGTTGTCATCCTTGGTACCCTGAAAAGTGCTGATTCGGCTTGGTGTAAAAAGGCTGAAATCTGAGGCCCTGGTTAGAGCAACGATATTCAGCAGTAAGTCCTTCATACAATCCCAGGGCAGCCAAGTTTTTCTACATAATACCTTGGCAAATGGGCTTGAAATACCATACGTCAATTCTCTTTGGAGGCCAAGTGGCTCCATCGATACCCTTAGCGCACATCCAAGCGAGCTCGCGTCTCAACGTTTGAGAAGCCTATTCACTGCATGGATGCGTCTCAAATGCGGACCGCTTGTGTGGAACTTCTTGAGTGTGTCAATGCTATTGTCAAAATCGATTGCACATAGCCACGTCATGGGACATGCATCGCACGCGGCATGGCGCGCAACGTCAAATCATCAAATCGATAGCGCATATGGGCAGCTGATTCCAGTGTGGAAAGGTTCCTCTAATAAATATATCCCATTCTTGCATCCCTTGCACGTCTACTTACAAGCTGGCGACTAGACCGCGCAGCTGCCACAACCTTTCATGCTCGTTAGTGCACTCAGAACCATCATTCGTGTCGGTGCTGGAGGGGGCATTAGACTCTAGCATGGTGACCACCACCCTAGCCACCGTATCCATGAAAACCTGGACGTAGTAGAATTGTGTGCCCTTTTCATGCAAGCGCATATGTGGGTGCGCTTCTGTAGCTCGACGATGACGGAATCCTGGCCCTTACCGACATCCAAAGGCTACTACTGTTAGAATCTAGCAGCAGGAATGAATCAACTATGAAATAGTTGGGTACAAATATGAAACCCTAAAAGGGGCTGTACCCCATATTGGCTACCCCACTACAGCCTAAACATATATAGCAGATATATCATTTGACACACCCCCATAGGCAAAGTGGGAGAGAGCAAGGGGTCACAAGACCAGTCAAGAGAAGCAAAGCAAGCTCAGGGTGGATCACAACGTCACCACACACACTGAGCACAAGCAAAGGGCCACAGGGCCAGTTCACATGCAGGGGTATATATGCAACAACAACAGCACAGTGATCTCTACCTAGCAGAGCAAGCATGCAGGTATATATATATAGATCACAGTACAAGCAAAGTCTACAGAAAGTGAGGAAAAGTGGGCACAAGGCCTAACAAAGTGCAGAAACGCTGATGATCACCAGACGGAAGTGCCTTGGTGAATATATCAGCAGTGTTGGCCCGAGTGGCCACGTGAGCAAGACGAAGCTGACCACGCTGCTGCAACTCTCGAGCCAGGAAGTAACGCAGAGCGATGTGCTTCGTTCTGTGCTCCAGTCTCTGCTCCTCACACAAGGCAATGGCGGCCTTGTTGTCGACGTACAGCACTGGAGGAGAACGAGGCCGCTCTCCCAGGTCGGTCAGCAGGTAGGTGAGCCAGCGTAACTCCTGTGCAGCCATGGCTGTGGCGTAAATCTCAGCCTCACAACTGGAGCTGAGAACTGAAGACGAGTGTGTAGAACGCCAAGAAACTGAACCAGAGCCAAGGCTGAAGGTGTAACCCTGTGACGACCGCTGCGTAGCCTGGTCGTCAACCCAAGAAGCGTCTGAGTGCCCAGTGAGGACTACGTCGCTCCGTCCTCCAAGCACGAGCCCCATGCCCGATGTACTGCACAAGTAGCGTAGTACCCTCTTAGCAGCATCCATGTGCACCTTTCGGTGCCGACCAGGAGCCACGTAGCGAGCCAGAGGAGTGGCCTGTAGCCAGAGGAGTGGCCTGTGCCGAGGACCAGGTGAAGCCGAAGCGCTGAAGGACCTGCTGCACCATGTGTGACTGAGTCAGTGTGATGGTACGGCGTGCTCTGTCCCGGGTGATCTGCAAGCCAAGGTAACTGCGCAGCTCACCCAGTTCTGTGCACGTGTGTCTCTTCTGCAGCTCCGACTTCACCAGGGCGAGAGCCTCAGTGTCAGCAGTGGCAAAGACCAAGTCGTCGACGTACACGAGGATGTAGAACGGCGGCAGCGAAGTGTCGGTGCGCAGAAACAGCAACGGGTCAGCAGTCGACGGAGCAAACCCAAGAGCAGCAAGTGTCGTCCTCAGTGTGTCGTGCCACTCACGTGGCGCCTGGCGGAGACCGTAGACTGGCCGCCGGAGGCTCCACTGGGTACCAGGAGGGAACAACCCAGTGAAGCCAGGAGGGCGGCGCAGCCAGATCTCCTCGTGCAGGCTGCCCTGTAAGAAAGCTGTGCTGAAGTCAAGAGAGTGAAGCTCGTAGTCACGCTGAGCGGCAACGTGCAGCAGTACCCGAAGAGTGGTCATCTTCGGGGTGGGGGAGAAGGTCTGGAAGAAGTCAACTCCCTCTCGCTGACTGAAACGTAACGACCTCGACGACGTTCGCGTGCCTCCGCAGAACTCATCGAGCAGGTTACCCAGTCGACCTGGACACCACCAGGTGCTCTGGTCGATCACCAAGTGCCTCTGGTCGACCGCTAGTGCCTCTGGCGACCAACATGTGCTTCTAGTCGACCACTAGGTGCCTCTGGTCGACCATAGCTCCTTTCGAGCTGCCCCCTGGTAGACGGACCCCTTCCGTCGATCAGAACTGTCAGCTGTTGTCGCCGAGCTCCCCTCGTCGACCGCTGCTCACTTGTCAGGTCGACAGACTGCTCCGTCAACCTCCTGGTCGACTGCAGGTCGACGGACTGCTCCGTTGACCTCCCGGTCGAATTGCTCCTCCTGGTAAACGGCCCACCTGTCGCCCAGACCAGTCAGTTGCAGCTGTCGAACTCCCTGGTCGACAGCAACACCACAGCGGTCCCCTGCAGCTCGACGAAGCTTGTCGAGCAGCTCTTCCACTGTGAACGGTGGACTGCTACTCCCGTACATCCGACCAAGTCGTCGCCGTTGCCCAAGCGAGGGCGGGGCCAACACTCCATTCCCGTTAACACTCCCCTGCCGCGCTCACGCTTGGGCCTCCAGCCCACACGGCAGTACTCCACGGAGAAAACTCGTTCTCGGTGTGCACCCCACACAGAGCACGCCGTCACCGCACCAGCCGTGCAGAAGGGCACGGCACCTACTGCTGCACATCATCGTCGCCGTTGCCGACGTCAGCCAGACGAACTTGGCCAGTAGCGACAGAGCACCGGTTGAAAGCCGGAAAATGCAGCGCCTTCGTCAGGAAGTCCGCCGGCTGCTCGATGGTCGGGATGTACTTTAGCACAAACTTCCCGCGCCTCACCATGTGCTACAGCCAAGCATAGCGTCGCTCCATGTGCTTGAGGTTGCCTGTCAGCCCCCAGCCCTCAGCGACCGTGATTACCGTGATTGCCGGCAGAGGGCAGTCGGCTTCCCAGCATCGAGCTGCTTGAACTCTGCAAGGAGGAAGCGAAGTCGACGCCCCTCCTTGCCGGCGTCCGTGGCCGCGACCTGCTCCGACTCGATCGAGGAGAGCGTCGCGCACTTGATGCGCTGGCTCGACCATGAGACCGCGGCCCCTCCGAAGACGAATACGTAGCCGACCGTGCTCGTCCGGTTTTGCTTGTCGCCCGCATCGTCGGCGTCCACGTAGCCGATCAGCTCCAGCGACTCTGGTCCACCGCCGAACTCCAGGGCGGTGTCACGCGTGTTAGCGAGATAGGCGAGGCAACGGTTGACCTCGCGCCAATGCTGGTCGCTCCTCACCGTGAGGCTGCTCCCCAGATTGCTGCACGAGAACGCGATGTCCGACCTCGTCGTCGTCGCCGCGAACTCCAGCGAGCCAACCTTCTGCCGGTACTCCTCCTCCTCACGCTCCTGCGCCTCCTCGTCGTCGAACGTCAGCTCAGCGTAGGCGGCGACCGAGACCGGCGTCTTCGGGACTCGCCCGCCCTGCTCCTTGTCGATGAAGCGCCTGTGCATCTTGTCAGCGTAGCCCTGCTGGTGCAGCCACAGCTTCCTTGCCGGCCTGTCGCGCACGATCTCCAGCCCAAGGTACTTCACCACCGGCGAGATCTCACGCAGCTCAAAGGCCGCCTCCAATAGCTCCTTTAGCTCCTTCAGCATCGCGGTGCTGCTGCTGGCGGTGAGCAGGTCGTCGACGTAGACCAGCACCCAGCAGGTCACTCAGTCCTCGCCGTCTTTGAAGTAGAGCGCCTCGTCGACCTGCCTCTTCTTCCAGCCAGCGCCCAGCAGCACACTATCGAGAGCCCTGTACCACAGCAGCGGCGACTGCCTCAGCCTATAGAGGCTCTTCAGCAGCTTACACACCCGGCCGGTCCCATCGTCGAAGTAGTCCGGCTGGTACATGTAGAGCACCATGTCGAGCTTGCTCTGCACGAAAGCGTTCTTCATGTCGAGCTGCATCAGGTTGAGGTCGAGGACGGCGACGATGCTGAGGAAGATCCTCAGCGCGACGTAGCTGCTTACCGGCGAATACGTCTTGTCGTAGTCGGTGCCGTACGCCTGCGTGAAGCCCTTCACGACCATCCTCGCCTTCTCGCGCTCGATGGTGTCGTCGATGCGGTACTTGGTCGTCAACACCCACCGGTTCTTCATGATGTTCACCCCGCGTGGGCGTTCAACCAGCTCCCAAGTGCCCATGCCAATGAGGCTGCGGATCTCTTCTTCCATGGCGGCCTTCACTGCCTCGCCCTTCCAGCTCGCCAACGCCTCCTTCACCGT